TGACACGCTCGAAAAGTACTTGCCCCTGTGCCGCGATGAGTGGGATGCTGTCCTCATCGCGCACAACAAATACTTTGCAGATCAAAAGCGCTCTGTGGACAGTCTCAAACGCAAATTCGCTTCGCTACATCGGCGAAAAATGCCAACCGGTGACCCGCTCATGCCTGCTGATGTTCGCAAAGCAAAAAGTATTCGATATAGAATGACGGAGCGTGCGGATATTGGAGTCGGTGACGAGGACGTAGACGAGCTGTCGGGAATCGTAGAGGATGATGAGGATGGTACGAAACCTGTTGGGGCGGCAAGTTTGTCGCCGCGAACATCGGAAATTCCAAGTGACGGCGCTCAAGGACCAGGGTCGGGTGCCGAGATTTTGCCGCCGAGCCCTACTGAGTTTGATCCCTCTCCGCGCTTGCTCGTTAACAAAAGGAGGGGAGTCAAAGTTCAATCAACTGAGGCAAATGAACTTGTCGCGATAATGAAGCTTTCTATGGTACAAGAGCAGCAGCGTCGGGAGAGCGATGCCCGACAAAGGGAAATGGAGGAGCGTCGCCGGGCGGACGAGAGGGATGAGGAGAGGAAGAGAAGGGAGGAGGACCGTCGTGAAGAAGTGCTTCGCCGGGAGCATGAAAACAAACGCCAGGATCGCTTTATGGAGGCGGTTCTGTTAATGATGACGCACACGGTATCTCAAAAAAAATCTACCGCAACGCCCTGACGATGCGTGACTCTAGATTCCAACGTTCTTATGAAGAAAAAAGTTAGCATCAACGCTTAGGTGCGGCATGTAAAGATTGAGAATTTGGTTGATTCCTACCACTGCAGCTCGATAGTTGTACAGTAGAACGATTGTCAACAAGATCAGTTTTCTTTCGCCAGTTTCTTCATAAACCATCCTATCCAAAAGCCTCGGAAACGTCCCTTGAAACCCGCGCATTCCCCACTCTGATGCTTGTCGCAACGAGGTAGCCTGCCGAAGCCTCATATCTCAGTAGCGTTTTGTCCTACTCCAAGATGATCTTGCGCAGACTTTATGACAAAGGGATGAAACTCTCTGCAAAATGCAGAATCGACCACACACTTGCCCTCCGTTTCCTCGTACACTTTTCCTAGTTTTTCGTAAATACCACCCCACTCCGCTATTGTGGAATCATGAAACGCGCCCGGAGCATTTACAGCACACATTATTATCCGTCCATTTGGGGCAAAGACAAAAACATTCCCGACATAATGGTCATGTGTCCAACCATTGTAAAACATATTTTGTATTACACAGTCACTTGCCTGTTGTATATATAGTTTTAACCCATCGGCACAGCAATAAACATCCGGAAGCAATGAATGATTCTCCCGAAAGCTTTGTTTAAACAAACTGATATCCTCATCTGACGGCGTTTTGATGGAGGCACGATCATCATTTCGCAAAACTTTAAAAAGCAAACGGTGGGCGAAGCGAATGTACAGCGAAGCAACTGAATGCGTAATCCCAAAAAGGAGACACAAAGTCATCATCGATCCCCGTGTGCGATGCCATGTGAGAAAGAGTCCCAGGCACTGAGTAGAGGAAAGTAAACGCGGTCTTCCTCTCGCGACGCGCCTATTTGGGAGGATTTGAAGCCTTCCATCGCTCGAGTACGGTGTGTATCTCAAGTACATCGGGGCAAATGCGTTTAGCATTGTTGTAAATGCTCGGTGATCGAACGCTGTGAGCGTGATTAAAGATTGATGGCATCCACTGCCGTACAAAAAAGCGAAAGGAGCCATCGTAGGACTGAGAAGCGCTCTTCGAGATATGCGTCTATCACGACGACGTTTACCTTTCGCATTTAGACGGGCTCTGAAAGTACGAGGCTGTCCATCGAGAATGAGATGATACAGAATAATGATTTGCAGCGTAAGCGAAGGCATACTGTGGCTAGGGTACGCGATGAGGACGAAAAGGGGAAACGTTGCGATTTGACGAGGGTGGTTCTGGGAATTCGCGGTCGTCCTACACTAAGGAGTTAGATTCGGGCTCATGGGACTGCCAATGGAGTACCCTACGGGTACACAACGGGATAGTGTAGAAAGTGCGGTGAGCTTTGACACAAAACTTTTCAGGACGCTAGTACAGTACACAATCACCTTTTTGCACAATTTTTGTGTAAAAGGGTGCATATGCATTTTATGATTTCAGGAGCAGCCCAGTACTGTAGCGTATTGGTTGCGCGAAAAATGGTTTACTCTGCTACGTTATCGGTAATCGTGTACTGTCCTTAGAATTACAGTGCGGTGGTATTTAGTTTTTTAAAGATAAGTCACCGTGCAAGTATCATACTATAAAAACGATTGCAGCTTCTGTACACTCTTTCTCTGTTGTGCACAGTAACCCTGTGCGTTCGCGCAATCGGGATTTGGATTTTCCAATCTAGATCCGTCGTCGTCCCCTACACTGCATCTTACATTTAATGACCCTACCGTTCTGACGCTAGACGAACGGAGGGGGTCAGAGGAAAACACAACAGAGTAAATCGAGCATCTAGCTCGCTACCTGTTTTTCCTTCAGTCCTTACTTCCCCCGCACTGCCACCCTCTCGCGAGTTTGAGTCTCTCGATCCAGTGCGAGGCTACTTATCACCTCCAGCGACATTCTCTTCCCTTTCGTTTGAGCTGCTTATCATGATCATATCTTTCGTATTTTTGTGTAAGGTCAAGGTTTCAATGGTGTCCTTATACTTTCAGTGCGCACTGTACATCATGTACAGTAGATCAAGACATGATGTCTTACACGTCCGTTTCTTCTCGCACGAATTCAGAAACTTGAGAATACTGTACAGTAGCAGCAAGGGGAAAGTACAGTAACGGTACCCTTGGTACAGTATGCAGAGGACGCTAACTTGGAGGACAAGATCTATTTCGTCGAGATCGCAGAGCATGCTTGAACGCGAATAAACCAGGCTTGATATTTTAATGCGGTATGGTCACTGGTGACTATTTTTTTTAAAGTGGTTGTTGTCTACCGGCAAGCCTCGGTGCTCATATATGCACTCGGCGCGTGTCTGCACTCGAATCGAGGCGACAACCCCTACATGTCAACCACTTTATGTGTCAACACCAAGCACGTTTCACAGCAAATACGAGACTGGAAGCGAATTGACTGGCAAGATTTGGTGCTCTGCATTGCTGTAAATGAAGGGTTGGCTGGAGTGCACCGCAATTTGGAACGGTACCCAAGGGTAGCCGACAGTGCCCCTGGTTCCTAGGGTGCATCCAGGAAATAAAATTCTGCCACTACATTGTTGAAGTACATTGTGTACAGTAGCACGGTGCATTGCTTGCAGTTGGGTTGAATATACAGTAAACTTTACCAACTGTACTTGTTGCAACACTACTTTAAGTAGTGTGGTCTGGGCATCCATCGGAAGATCCCTTCGGAAGATAGAATGGGCGATGAAGAGTATGATAGAGGCATTGTAGCAGCAGCGAACAAGTCGATTTGTACAGCAGTAAAGCAGTAATTTTCAGCCATGACATACCGGTTTACACAACAGCAGTCCTGATTGGTTGAGATGCAAATATGTACAGGTGCACTCTCGGGACGTTGGAGCTCGTTTTGCGACAGAATGGGTGTGCGACTTGTCCCAGGCCTAAAAGTCTCGCATCAACCATCGCGTGAACGTGGAAGTTGGGGCCAACACCTGACGCAGTGACGGCAACTTGAACGTATATTAATCATACTGCGCCATGTCCAGGCGTCAATGTCACCGCCAAGTTGGATTAGATTGTTAGAATGGTGGTCATCTTTCCAGACGTCATGGATCAGCTGTAGGATTGCGCAAAGAATGATGAAGAAGCGAAGCTGGGGGAGACACTGTCAACCTTAAGTGTTGCATACGGAGACATCAGTTTAGTAAAGATAGGAGGAGTCACGGTGATTTAGAAAAAGAAGACAGTAGTGTCTCTGCGGAAGGGGATTCTTTTCATTAGCTCTGAGGTAATACTAGTTGCAATAGACGGTTGTTAACATAGGAGGTGTTGGTGCGTGCGGAGACGGCAAAAATGACGGGGGGGGGGGGGGGGGGGGGGGGGGGCAGTTTTTTTTTAAAAAAGTTTTTTAAACCAAAACGTCCTTTTTTGGGCGATTTTTAAGAAAAAAT